TGGAAATAATTAGAACAGCAAGTCAATGGGGAAAAGAAAACAATTTTGAATGCTTGGTGCTGGAATAATTGGACACACACACACACACACACACACACTTCAAAATAAGGACCTGTCCAAAGTCAAAGAAGGCAGCTAGAAATCAGATCCCACTGTCAAATATGAGCAATTTGCATGTCAGAATACTGATAGTAATGATTTATTGTTAAGATAAGAATGCAAGAAGCCATCAAGATTTTATAAATTCATGAGTGAATTAAGAATTTTGATGAGAATTGAAATGTTTACATATTACCTGAGGCCATCCAGGCCATCCCAATGCTCACCTTTTGCAATAGAAACAAGTAACTATGTGGTGGAGAAACCTTATAGGCACTGCCTTCACCCAGCGATAAAGTTAGTACCAGTAATAGAAGAATTGAAATCCTGCAGATCCTGTGCCACCCATTAGGATACAATGGAAAGAATACAGCTTCACTTGTGCAATTTTCTTCTCAAAGACATACAAGGTTAATCAGAAGGAAGCAGCAGACAACTCAGATTGAGAAACCTGTTACAACATAACTGCCCTGTAGTCATCAGTGTCACAGTCATGAAAATCAAAATAAGGAGGCAAAGTACCTATGCCCACTGAGTAATTCTAAACTGAGTTTTTTGTTCTCATGGACATTACTGAGAAACTGGTAGACACGGAATGAGTGCTGAAGATAAGATGGTAAGAAAGCACTGATGTGACCTCTTGGTTTTGATGGCTCTATGACAGTTGTATAGGAGAGTATCCTTACAGAAAATACAAACTAAAGTATTTGGAAGGCCATGGAGTGTTATGTAAGCAGCTTATTCTTAAATAGTTCAGGTTGAAATAGTCTTCATATTGTATACTTACATTTTTGTAAAATTGAGAATATTTGAAAAAAATAGGATGGGGGGACAGAAGGGAGAGACCTTGTGGAATGACTCCCGTTCTGCCCGTGTGTGGCATGTGCGTTGTGCCTCAGGGCAGCCTTACCACATAGCTGGGGTGCACCTAGGGGACCAGCCCTCCGAGGGATGGACACCCCTCCCATGGAACCAGAAAGACATAGAGTGATGCTCGCTTTTCAGACTCTCAAAATAGGAGATGAATGTTCCTGAAATTTCTTTTTTGGAACTTACACTGCTTTAAGTGCATTTTTAGTAAGTGAGCTTTAACTCTTTGAGAACTCTTTGTACCAATGTATCCTCATCTCCCTTCCCAGGTGCTCGGGGTAGGCGTGAGGTGGAGAGAAGAACCCTGAGAGCAATGGTACTCGAACTCAGTTACAGGTGAAGGCGGAGTGTTGGTGATTCTCCATGGGCACCCAGCCCTTCCCTCCACCTCTGCTCTTCCTTTCCTTCCCACTTTGTACCCAGGGAGTTGGTCCCGCAGACAGCCAGGGCCGGCTCACTGCTCAGTGGCTGCTCCTCGGCTCCTGCCATGGGAGCAGAACATTGCAGCCATCGTGTTTCCTCCCTTGCCCACAACACACAATGCTGCTGCTGCCCCAGCAGTGACATCTCTCTGAGGCTGTTTCCTCTCTTCCAGCTCTCACTGGGTTTTGCCAGGTTTCCCCTGTCCTCTCTGCTTTTCCGTATGTGCCTGGAGGAGGTGATGGCTTTCCCCACACACCAGTGTTTCTGGAACATGCTTTGCCCCAAGGAAAGACAAAGGCTGAACAATATAGGATGGCTGTAAGAGTAAAGCTGAATGCTCTGCACATGAGCCTACCTGTCTAGAATCATTTCACTTTGCTTTAGAGTCAGCTGTACAGGGACACTGAGAACAGAAGAAGATGGCAAACTTGTAAAGGTGTAGGAGACGCTGTGACCATTCCACGTACCCCTGCTTGGAGGAGGGTAGCACCATCCTGACACATGTGTCTCCAGCTGCTGTACAAGGAGCAGAAGTAGGGGGAGCTCGTGCTTAGCACGAGCTTAAAGGGTCATTTCAGAGCTTTCTATCGTTCTCTTCCTCCTGCCACCCAGAAGTCAGTGTGATCTTCCGCCTGGATTGCAGATGAGCAGCACTGAGCCAAGTGGGGACATGGCATGTGCGCAAGATGTAATCTGTGGTGCCAGGAGCCACTGCAGTTGTACGTCGGTACCTGTGGAGAATTAACTCATGGCCAGCTTGCAACACCCAGCTGGACTGAATCAGCGTGGTGCTGGCTGTGGAGGGCCCACCTAAGGATTGATGCCAACAGCATAAAAGGAACTGGAGGGGAAGATGGAGCGCTGGTGGTTCTCCTGGAGAAGCTTGTCATGCTGGCTTTCCTGATATGAACCCTGCTGTGCTCATCATCAGAGGAGCTCGGGTCCTCGCTGTCACTGCGGATAGCTGCAGTTCTCTTCGGGGCAGCGCTGGCCCTTACCTTGAGCATCACTTCCCGGCTCCAGCGCAGATCCCTCGGCTGCTGGCACAGATCCTTCATCCAGCTGGTGCCGACTGTCTAGCTTCCACCACTGACCTTTGGGCCTTCCCAGTGCAGGTGCTTGACACAGACCTGCATGAGACATTGCTGTAGACTCCAGGCCCTCAGCTGGGTTCTTTGGGCCTCTGGTGTGTGGACAGACATGTGTGCCTCTGCCCTGAGCAGAGGCCATTGCTCATCCAGAGACACCTGTGTCTCCAGATCTCCCATACTCTTTTGTATTTGATTGTTAAGGTGACTATTATAAAATAATCATATAAATTATGTGTCCTGTATTAAATCTTGTCCCTTGTAATCCCCGACTGCAAGAGTACCACAGCATAGCTCGGCTTAAGCTGCATGATAAAACAATGCTTCCCTTGGGTCATGTAAAAAAAAAAATATATAGCACAGTTGTCAGCTTTTAAAAGACCATGCCCTGTGTCATTCTTTTAAAGACGAACTAATAGAAAAATCTCACCCTGCAACGCATTGTGGGCTTTCTCACCCCTTGAAAATGCTGGATGTATCGACAGAGTAACAAGAAAACTCAAGTACAGAGATAGGCCCGTAGCTAACAAATAGCACAGTAAGATCCCAGTGTTTACCAAGATCCCTTCTGTCCTGCAGTCAGTGAGCTGCGTGGATCGTGCGCTGGCTTTGCAGAGCAGACCTCTGTGGCGGGGAGTGCCTGCGGTGAGGCTGGCTGAATGTGGCCCCTGGCGCAGCCTACATTTTTACTGGCACAGTCAGCATTTAAAAGTGATCTGACAGTAAAGTTGAGCTGAATTTTGAAGCTCATCCCAATTTTCCTGAAAATCTGGTTACTTTTAGAGTGTCATTTTGCCGAACGCAGTTTTTCAGACACTTCTATAGCTATACCTGAAGTGCCTGTATTAAAACAAGCCACAAAAGTGTGTACAAATTTTAGATTTCAACAAACACTTTCACACACACACCCCGCCCCATCCTGCACATGCATGTGGGGTCTGGAGCGAAGGGCAAGGTCTGCCGAAGCGGAGCGAGTCTCACCCTCACTCTACCACCTCCTAGCAGGTTCAACTCCGATGACATGAACGCCCCAGCCTCTGGCTCCTCCTCTGTAACTGGGAGGGCGCGAGGAAGAAGCCACCGTGGTGGGAATCCACGAGCTGGGCTACTTTCTTCCTGAGCCCATAGAGCAAGAGCATGGGGGTGGAGGGTCTTCACTTCCCTGCCCCCCACCTCCCCTGTGGTGTGTGGCCTTCCCACCAGCACTGCCCTGAGCAGAGGCCACTGCTCATCTCTGGATCGAGGTTTGAGGAAGCCTCTGTGCGTTTACTGGGCGCAAACCTTCTCAGGTGGCTGGAGGCATCATCTCAAGCCCTGGAGGGCATAAGACCCTGTGGGACCAGACAGAGGCCTGGAACCTCAATGTCTCAGGAAGTGTTTGCTTGTCTTATACTTCAGTCATGACACATTTTTGGTCTTTTTTTATAAACAACAGTTTGGCTTAAAACAAAAATCCACTCAGCAGCATGGAAAGCAAAGGAGGAGGAGTTCCCTCTTAAAGCTAAACTAAAATCAGAGCATCCAAGATCGGAGTAGGAACACCCAGCATCCCCTTGAGAGCAAGAGCAGTTCCCAGAACTGATTTAATTGGAACTAGAGGAAAGTCTTAAAGCTGTATTAAACTGTATCTGAAAACTAGGGCCTGCCAGATAGCTCAGCGGACCAAAGTGCCTGCATAGGCAGAGCATAGCAGCTGGGGTTCAATCCCAGGTGCCCGATGCAGGCCCCCCCACGGGGTGGGCTGAGATGGTGATTGAGACTGGGCATGGTGGTGCATGCCCATAATCCTTGGGAGGCTGAACACAGGAGGATCCCTATGAGTCCAATCTGAGTAGTGAGACCCTGTACACCCTGTAGACCCTGCCCTAAATTCATAAAAACAAACAAACAAAAACCAACTATATGACTGTGGAAAGGGGAATGGGAAGAGGGGAAGTGCGGGGGGAATGGCCCTTCACACCCAGAATCTGGGGCTGGTCTTTCTGGAAACTCACCTGAGGAGAAGCAATCTTAGCACACAAGCACAGTGGCCAGGTGTCCCCAAAGAGCCCCTCCCATAGGAACACACTTCCAAATAGGATCACGTCTGCAGAGCCCAGGGCCAGCATCCAGGATACCCAAGGGAGGGCCAAGCCCAGAGACTCTGCTGGGAGCTCTACAGGTGATAAGGTGCCTGGTTAGAGCCAGACATGACAGTGCATTCTGTAATCCCAGTACTCTGGGAGGCTGAGACAGGAGGAATACAAATTCAAGCCCCCGCCCAGCAACTTGACTAAGACGCTGTCTTTAGAAAAGAAAAAAAGAAAAAAAAAAAAAGGCTGATTATACATACTGCTATAGAGTGGAGCAGGTCTGCTTTGGGGCAGGATGGCCACATTCTCTGTGACAGAACAAGATCCTTGTGTGTGCCCTTCTCTCAGGGACAAGCACTTCCTGTCCCTTCCTGGAAGGTCCCCCTGCCACTGCAGGCTCCTGTGTGTACCCCACAAGCAAGGAGGGCTCCTTTATCCCCAGAATCCCTGAAGGTACCTCTGTAGGGCCCATCTCACCCACAAACAGTGGAATCCCAGGATTCTGTCCTGGACACCTCACTGCACCTCCGGAAGGAAGAAGAGGTCAGCAGGAAGCAGACTGGGCCCAGCTAACACAGGCTCTGCCATGGCATCAACAAGAGCCACACTGCCAAAGAGAGGAGTCTCCACTGTCAATGTTATTATTCCTGAAAGCATTTCAAATGAAGCAAAGGATTTAACAAAGCATATAAAAATAGACATTTTAAAAAATCACAGACAACAGATTTATGGAATTACTTTTCTGGTCATCCAGAAACGTCAACATTTGCTTAATAGTGAGCTGCATTTGGATGACCCCAGGCACTGGAGCAGAGGCACGGCCTGACACTGGCAAGCAGGATTGCCTACCACCTCATCAGGCTGCGGGAGAGTAGAGGACAGCAAGGAGAGCAGCCGGGGGAGGAGCTTGCAGGCATCCTGGACTTCCCGCCAGGAGACATCCTCAGCCCTTTCTTTTTATTTTTCTGAGACGTGCCTCAGTAATTTGTACTGGTGGGACTCAATTTTTCAATCCTCCTGCTTCAGCCTCCCTCAGTAGTGGGATAGCAGGCGTGCCCCACTGTGCCTGTCTGTGCGTGTTCATTTTCAATCATTCAGTAAGCTGTCTAATTTGTGGGTTTGGAATGGGAGCATACCTGTGTCCACAGTCATATCAGGAAGGCCCAACCTGTCAAAGCAGGCTTCCAAATGCAAACCCCAGGGCTGCAGAAAAGGCAGGTATGGTAAGGTCCAGACCCTGCTCCATGAAGCTCAGATTCTATCATAACTAGAGCCACATGTGAGCCCAGGCACCTCTGTGGACAAAGCAGCACGACTGACCCTGCAGGTGTGGACAACCAGGAAAGGGTTATGGAAAGCTTTGTGGGCGGAGCTAGGCCTGCAAGAGTGACAAGATTTTGCAAGGCTGATAGAAAGTATATGAACCCAGGAGGCGGCCCTGGCCAGGGGATGAGAGCAGAGGCTGGGAAGCTGGGGCCCCAGGGAGGAAGGGGAGTGAATAACAGGAAGTCCCTCCCACACTCCTCCACTCTACAAGAATGCAGTGAGGGCAGCCCCAGCAGCTGGGCACATGCTGCCTGGAGGCTCCATCCCTTGTGGCCTGTGCTCAGAGCTGTGCTTCAGCTGAGGGAGTGGGGGATGCTGCCTGGTGCAGGGTGAGGGTCAGACCTGACCGTGTTGTAGGGAGTGTGCCACCAGCCAGCAAGGCCAGCACAGGCGGGGCCTCTGCAGCCAGGCCAGTGTCCAGCACCTGGGGAGTAGCTAGGGAGGGAGTCCAAGGAGACAAGTGGAAGGATGCAGCCCTCACCCTCCCTCGCTGTCCACAGAAGGTCTGTTACTGGCCGCGGTTGCTGGGGGACTGGCGCCCAGAACTCCACTGGTCTTCGTGCCTGTCTCTGTCATCCTCTTGTTTTTCTCTGGAGAACTCTTGCATTTCCTCTGGTGGCTTCCTGTAAATTGCCCGGTCCCTTTAGGGGAACAGAGGAGAAAGGTTTGCCCTTGAGCAATTGTGAGGGTCTAGGGAGTAGCTGCTGGAACCCACCCTCCATCTCTGCCCCGTGCTGCAGAGGTACAAAAGAGGCCACAACCGGGTCCCACCCAGGGATGGGGAGTGTTGGGGCCTGCACGAGTTCTGGGAACATGAGGGATCCCTTCCCAGGCTGGGAGGTACAGGACTCGCTGCAGCTTCTGTTAAGGGCCAACCACATTCTTCTCAACTCTCAAGGGAGGGGCGAGGGCAGCTGTGCCTCCAGAGGTGGTGTACATTCCTTTCCATTTCCAGTGTAGTTAAGCCCTCCCAACAGGCCCCTCACTCACGGCCTTGCGTCCTCCTTGTCCTCCTTCCTGTCTGCGTCCCGGCAGCAGCAGCAGTAGATGATGATGCCGATGATGATAAGGGCTGCCACCACACCACCTGCGATGCCTGCGTACAGCGCCACGTTCATGGAGGCTGTGGAAGGACAGAATGGCTGCATCTCTGGAGCCCCTGACCATGGACCCAAGGAAAGTAGCAAAGCCAGGGACAGGAGCCAGCCCCAGGGCAGCAGCTGCCATTTCCTGGCACACCTCACCAAAGGAAAGGCCTAGTCTGGTAGGACTGTAGCCACACAGGCTGGGGGCCGTCCTCAGGCTAGGGCACAGGAGGCTTTGAACCTCCATGCTCCAGGCTCTGGGACTCCAACAGTAACCTCAGTTGCCAACCTGCCACCTAGCCTAAGCCAAGCTAGATGTGGCATCTGGGTCCAGAGGATGGGCTGCAGACCGGTTACTGGAGCTGGCACATTCCCAGGGCTCACGGAGTCACCCCCTGGGAGCAGGACAGGGAGTCTACTGAAGTCAGCCCCAGGGGAACTGGTCTGGCCTCAGGCAAGGGGACGTGACCTCAGTCACCGCAGCTGCCCTGCACATGTGTGGTCCTAAGGAGGCTCCAGAGCCAGCTGGCCCCCTCTGGCCCTGCCCCACCCTGCCTTATGCTCTCACGAGGTCTGACGGCCAGTGTGATGTTGCAGGTCCTCATCCCCACCTCGTTGCTGGAGAAGCAGGTGTACAGGCCTGACATGAGCGTGGAGATGTTCTTCAGGAGGAGGCTCTGGCCTGAGGCTGTGGGGAGAGAGGGGTCAGGGGCTGCCCAGGGAGCACATACAGGAACAGAACAACCTCTGCCTCCAGGGCTGCTATCAGCGACAGCTCTGGGAAAGGCCCACCGAAAGCAATGCAGTGAGAATTCAGCCAGGTACCCTGGCTGGAAGCCCAGCTTGGCCACTGATTAATTCCATGCCGTTGGCAAGCAATTTAGCTTCATAGCCTCTTTGTTTCCCCACCTGTGATTGGAAACAGTAGAACTTCCCTTCCAGGTACTTGTGGGCATAAAATGTAGCTTTCGTAATGAATATAAACCCACACAGAATGGCTGATGGACAGCAAGAGCTCCGGACAGGTCAGATATACCATGTATGACTTGGAAATGCTTATAATTAGAAGATATTACTACCACTTTTATAAACTGCAGAACCTGAAGCCCTTAGACTAGGGGATCAAGAGCTATGATCTCTGGATTTGTGTCATAAGTAGTGGGCATGCGTGCCATGGGAGGAGCGTGGGTGTGGTGAGTATGTAGTGTGACTATGAGCATATGTATGTGTGGCAGACGGTGTGTGAGTGCATGTATAGTGTGTGTGTGTGTGTATGTGTGTGTGCTGTCTGATGTGCGCTGTTAGTGTATGTATGCGGAGTGTACAGGGCAAGTGGATGTAAGCATGTGTGTGATAGATGTGGTCCTAGTGTGTGGTGTGCATACTATTTGTGTTATGTGTGTGTGCAATGTATGATGAATATGTGTGAAAGAATATTTGTGGTGGGTGTGTGTTTGGTATGAATGCATTAATGTGTGTTGGCTAATGTGTCCAATAAGAGTGTGCACAATATATGGAGTGTGTGTGTGTGTGTGTGTGTGTGTGTGGTGTGTCTGGTGTGCAGTAGGTCTCTGTGTGGTATATGTAAGTGTGTGGTATCCTGGGGTATGATGCGAATGTGGGTAATGTATGGGGTGTGTATGCGAGAGAGTGTGCGTGGTGTATATGAGTGTGGAGTCTAATCTGGTGGGTGGTGTGAGTGTGTGTGAGTGTGTGTGTGTGTGTGTGTGTGTGTGTGTGTGGCTGCCTGGCTGGCCCTCCACTTCACCACCACTCAAGTGAGCCATTGGATTCCAGCTGCTGAAGCAGCAGCCTTCTCTGGAAAAAGGGAGACATGGCTGATCCAGAGTCCCAGGAAGTGGCCCTGCTGGCGCCAAGGGGGCCTTTCCCTCAAGTCTGTGACCCTACAAATATCTTCACCTCAAAAGGACAAATGCATGTAGACAGGTGGATATGGCCTGTCCGCCAGGATGCTTTGCTGCCCTAGAGGAGAGTTGGAGACTTCTGTCCTGTCATTTCCGGCAGGGCCAGCCTCCTGTGAGCCCTGCTGCCACCAGGGGTCACTCTGTCTGGAGGAGACCTTCCAAGTTGCAGACAGAAACCTGTAGTGTTCTCCAGACATTTCAGAGGCTTCCTGAAATCCCCAGTGACACATCTGAGCTACTGTGGGGACAGGGTCATGGTCTGGCCTATGTCAAGCCACTTCCTCTGGGGGCCCTGGTGCAAAGTGGCACCACCCCCACTCTCCACCCCCGCGGTCCCCTGGAAGATGTCCCACAGGGGCTGTCCCTGTTGGGCTGCACGGCAGGGCACACGTCCAGTGATGAGCTCCCACCCTCCCCGCAGCCCTAGCGATGGAGCAAGTAGCTCCACCTCAGGTCCCACAGGGGCTTAGAAACTTGACTTGCAAAAGGCCACAGAGTTAACAACAGAGCTGCAGCAAAGCTCCTGCTTTGGGGTCTAGAGTAGTGAGAGCTTTGTTTTAAAATCTTACATCATTAAATCCTTGTATACTTATTCTAAGGATGGGAATGTGTTGTGAAACTCTTATTCCAATTCAGTTCAACCCAGAAAACCTACGAGTGGATCACAGCTATAAAAGAGTGCCTGTCTTCTTGGCTTGTCAGTTCTGTAAAGGAAGGCACAGAAAACAATGGTGACCTCAAGATTTTACATGGAGGTGCTGTCTGGGCTTGGAGCAAGGGGATTTCTGCTCACATAGAGGACTGGAGAAAGCCTCAACGAAGAAGAGAGAATGTGATAAAAGTCACCCATCATTCACCACCTGGAAACCATCGCATCTTTTCACAAAACACAGTACTTCTTCCAATTCTTTCTTGAAAACCCAGGGCACTCCTTTCTGGGTTCACTCCTTTCTAGGTAAAATGCTAGCCTTTGCAACCTGGAATTCCACACTGCTGTGTGTCCTGGAATCTGGCTCACTTGGAAGAGAAACATGTAGTACTGTAACAGGGGTTTGAGACCAAATCGAGTTTAGAAACCACTGATCTAGGGTTAAATGCACTTGTAAGGCCACAGCCCTCAGATGTTTTAATAGGCTAATGAGGACCAAGAATCTCTAATAAGGTTTATGGGATTAACAGTCCCATTTTCTAAACTAATTAGACTTGGGGTGTTTGTTTGTTGAGATAGGGTCTTGCTATGTAGCTCAGACTGGCCTTGAACTCTTAGGGATCCTTCTGCCTCAACCTCCAAGGGCTGGATTACAGGTGTGTGCTACCACACCCAGCTAAAGTAATTAGATTTTGTTATGTCCCTTCCCCCTTTCCAGTACTTACAACTGAATCTGTCGCGTTCACACTGAGCTCCAGCCCTAGCCCTTTGCATTTTTTTATTTTGCTAATTTGCCTAGACTGAGCTCACACTTGTGATCATCCTGCCTCAGCTCCAGAACTGCTGGGAACGCAGGTGTGGACCGCTGTGCCTGGCAGGCGTTCTGTTGTCTTCAGAGGCACCATGAAGGAGCACACTCTGCAGACAGACCAGTCTTAGGAGCACTAGAGCTCGCCCCAGTTTCCCACTACTGTAGACTCTGAAAGGCAGCCTGGGTGTTAGGCGCTGCTGGCACAGGGTCACAGGGCCGAGCAGCCCTAGGCCCCGCTGAGGACGGAGCACTGGGGCTTCCTGACGCACAGCAGCATGCGGCGGATGCCACCAGCCGCTCTGGGACGAACCAGAACACAGTCAGCACCATAGGACCAGCTTTAATTCTGCGTGAGCAAAGCTCGAATCCCACTCCTTCTGAAAGCCTAGAGGGAAGTAATTTTTCTGCTGCAGGAGCGACACCTTGTGGTCACACAGCTTCGCACAGGGCAGCTGTCTGACTCCCACCTTCCCTCTGCTCCAGCCGCACAGAAATTCCCTGCAAGGCGCAGAGGTGCAGTCACGAGGTCTAACCTCCCTGCCCTCCACACTCCGCGGTCGTCCTTAGACTTGGCTGCTGCCCGCTACTCACGGGGCCCCCGGGGTCCTCCTGCACTCCTCCTCCTCCTCCTCACACTGTTTTTCCCCTAAGTCACCCTGGCTCCCAGAATTACCCCTTTCTCCTTTGAAACTCAAAGTTCTACTCCTTTGGCGCACAGAAACGTAGCTGGTTGAGACATAATGGAGTATTCCTCATATATATGCATACATATATATGTATGTATGTGTGATAAACTCGAGGCTTTTTAGGTAAATGGATGCAACAAGAGACCACACACCTAAGTGAAATAAATCAGACCCGCGTATGCAAATATCATACTGTCTTGCTAGTGTGAGAATTTGAAAGAGTAAATAAAATATGAACAGTACAATAGATACTGTGAAAGAGAAAGAATCCGTTCAAAGAGAAGGAAAAACTGGGATTAGGAAAAGGACAAAAAAAGAGAAAAGACATATTTATGTATATGTACAGGATAACTTGGATACTTGTACTGCGGATTTCTCGCGTATTGAAAGGAGCAGTTAATGCTTAAATGTTATTTTCTCCTTTTTAATTTCTTGTAACTTTTAACATTTTCTTTTCTTTTTTTTTAATCAATTTTGCATGTTTATATCTGGTAATCTAAACAAGTAATTTGAAGATAACATAGGCAATACAACAACCTTGGTCGAATTCCTATTTAGTGAAATTCTGTATCATTTCTAATGGTTGGTTGTTCTTTTTTCCCCCCTACCATTTTGTATTCTGTTTAAAAAAAAAAAAAAGTTTGGGGGCCAACCTGCAGGGAGTCTCCTAGTATCCTCTGTACAGCCTCTAGGGTCGCCTTGCTTTCTGTTGTTTGTCCAGGTGACTACGTTAAGGGTCAGAGAGGCTGTGACTGGAGCAGCCACATAGTAGGATGAGGATTCAGATCCCTGCCTTCCAGTGCTGGCCCAGGGCTCCCTACTGTTCTCGATTCTGGCCATCGCCATGTCTAATGGCGGGAAATCTGCCTCTGGGAGTGGGAGGGCCAGAGAAGCTCCTAAACCACCCTTGGGGGTGGGGGGGCTGGAGTGTTTCTGAAGACACCAGAATAGAGTGTGACCCACGGAGGAAGAAGGCCCGGACAGATTTCCAGGCCACTGTGAGGCAAGCTGAGGCAAGGATTTAAGAAGCCCCAGCTGACCCCCCACCCCCACCCGTGCAGACACCCAGCTGTGTGGCTGTGGTCTCTCCGCCCCCATCTCCAAGCTGGCTGAGCTTCTGGGAGGTGGCAGCTCCTCTCCCTTCAGCACCCTTCCTGGCCTCGGGATTCTCAGACAGCTACATTTTGGCTCCTCACACCCGAGACACCTTTCCTGATGGGGGCAGTAGAGCTGGGACCCGGGTGCCCCGTGATATCTCCTCCTTGCGTCTCAGCCACTCTGACAGCCACGATTCCCACACCAGCTCCAGGCTCACGCCATGCGTCGGAAGGACCCCTCACACTGGCCTAGATTTCCCAGAATTATGGAGTGCTTCCTGTCTGCCGAGGACTGACTTCAGTGTTTTATGCATACTTCCCTTTAATCTTCACAACAACCTGTGGATGCTAGTGTTGTACCCATTTGATGGACGTAGAAACTAAGACACACAGAAGCTGAGTACCTTGTGGAGGTCGGACAGCTGGCAAGTGGCAGAGCCAGACGCGAAGCCCGCATCACGTTCCCCAGCACTACGTGACCCTGACATCAGCTGAGCCCTCAGAGAAATGTCTAAGAGCCCTGCCTCGCCTCTGCCTTGCACCAATGGGCACAAAGGAATGCAGCAGACACCCTCCAGCCTCAGCCCTGGTCCCCCCCCCCACTGAGCCAGAAGAAAGGCCAGAGGCCAGCAGTGTCCACTGAAGACCTGTTGATCTGGGCACCGCAGGCACCTGTTACTCAGGCAGAGGCCCAGGACAACTGCAGGTGGAGTCAATGAAACTTCCTGACATACTTGTAACAAGTGGCCGCCCAAGAGGTGGTAGCAAAGCTGGAAGGTGGCAGGAATCACAATTTCCATTTAACATTAGGCTGAATAAGTTCTACTAATTAGTCTTTCTTTTGTGGTATTGGGGCTAAAACCCAGGGTCTTTGTATTGAACTACATGCCAGCCCTTTTCTATTTTATTTTTAAATGCTAGGTCAAGGTCTTGCTAAGTCACTAAGTTGCCCAGGGCAGACTCAAACTTGTGATCCTCCTGCCTCAGCCTCCACAGTACAGAGATTTACTTTCAATTTGCTGTTTTGTCCCCAAACAAGTGAAAAGTAGAGTAACAAAAGTCACCCCAGGGCCGGCAGTATAGCTCAGCAGACTAAGCACTTGCTTAGGTAAGTGCAGGGGCCAAGGTCCAATCCCTGGCACTGCATGCTATGCCGGCCTCGCCCCCCGGGCATGCTGAACCGGCAATGGAGTTCAGACTGATGGCCTTGTTGTTCCCGGGTTTCAGGAGCAGTCCAGAGTCTTGGCAGGGGCAGTGAATCTGAGCTGCAGCCAGCTCCAGCCGGGACAGGAGCACGTGCACAGAGCTCCTCTTCTGCCTGGGTGCTTCCAGACTGAAAAGTCAAATACCAAGCTGCCCAGCTCCCAGCTGCCCTGGCAGTCAGGGCTAAAATGAGGGTGTCCTCCCTGAGGAACAGACCTGAGGAGCTGTATTCCCGGGGAAGAGGGGTGAGTAAAGGGTGTGAGAGATAAGTGAGTGAGACTGGATATGGAGTTAGACTGGGGGTATCAAATGTACACCCCAGAATGCAGTCATAATCCACATTAAAATCGCATCAGTACACGCTCAGCCGGGAGAGCTGAGGTATGAAGAACAATGAAAACAAGGCGGCATGTATCGTGTTCTGCTGTCATGTTCACACAATCGTTTTTTCTCCAAGTACAGTCCCACGGCTGTTCCCAAGCTTAGAGGCCAGGCCCATGGTATCCCGGGCTCTGGGTGAGAAGGGAGGTGATCGTCCCGCGCTCCGACTCTGGGCAGCGCCAGCCCATCAGCGCGCCCTGCTCACCACGTCCCCGCTGCCACTCACCTGGCGAGGACAGAGGCCGCTCTAGGTGCTGGTCGTCATAGCTCTTCCAGGTGTACTGCGGGGCTGGGGAGCCCTCGGCAGACTGGCAGGTCAGCTCAATGTTGTTCCCAATCACTGTCTCTCCCTTGATGAGGCAGTCTGGCACAGAGGGCGGCACTGTGAAGGGAGAGGCCAAGAAGATGGACTGAGTTGACGGTGACAGCCCCCCACACACACCCTAAAGGCAAACTTTCCAAAACACCTCCCCAGGGGCCTGTCACTCTCAGAATGGGGAGAAAGCCATCAGGGGCTGACAGTGACTGCCTGGGTGTGAGCCACGTGATCTCCAGCACCATGGGACTTTAGGGATGCTCTACCATGGCCTTGATAAGGATGGGATACGGAGCCCCAGAGGCGACACTGGTTCCTGGGACCAGAACCCAGGTCTCCGGACCGCAGACGCAGCACTCGCTCCACCAGCTCACAGGAACTCCTTCAGCAGCATTTTAGGGAAGCGCTCTGCCTCTCTGGAATCTCAGAGTTCCTAACTGTAAGAGGGACCCTTTCTGGGAGGATCTGGGGGCTCTGCAGACCACATGCCATTTCTGTATTGCTGCTTTTGCTTTGCAGTAACACTTCAGAAGTGTGAAGCCTGGCTCTCTCTGGCTGGGCTTGGCTCAACCATCCTTGGTCCCAAGTCCCATTCCCTGCCTCCTTCCCAAGACTGCTGAGAAAATGCAATTGTTGAGCAGCTGGAGAGGAGGAGGGACTCCGGGGTGCAGCAGAGTTGATTGCCAGGTGCAGCATGGCAGAAGGGCATGGTTGAGGTGGAGAGGGGAGCAGAAAGCCCTCCAGTGGAGGCCGCAGAGCCAGGGCCACCATCAGCTCAGAGTCCTCCCCACAGCCGCTTCCCAGAGCCTCCATACCAGGGCCTTTCCTTCAGCCTCACCAGTGTGTCAGTGTGTGCAGAGGGGTCTGCAAACCTAGCGGCCCTGGGCACCAGGACGGTGCAGCACGCACCAAGGAATCTAGCAGGGGCAAGGCCTGGAAAGCAGGCAACACCAAGGGAGGAGGCAAGGGCCCACTCTTCTCACCACCTGGGATGAGGGGAAAGGTGGAAGTGGTAGAGCAGACAGGGGCTCCAGGCAGAGGGAACAACAAGTGGGAAAGCTCAGAGGCCAGATGCATGTAGCATCCTGGGGGGGGGGTCACTAAAGCTTGAGGTGGCAGGCCTGTCCTCTTGGAGGACATACTTGCCACCTCCCTCATGGAGGTGCACGTTCCTTGAACTGGAGAATAAATTCCAGTCTCAACTCAACCAGGAGTTTCTGAGCCCAGTGCTGCAGGACATGCCTCTCCCCTCCAGCCGAGCAGCAGCAGTATTTGTTCTTGGAAGCATAGTCAGGCATGGTGGTACATGCCAGTGATCCAAGCACACTGGGAGGTGGAGGCAGAGGGAAACAGGTGGGCTGTTGTCTGGTGTGTAGGACTCTGTTACCATAGTAACCAGGCAAGTGCTGCAATCCTTGCACAAATTACAGGCACTCCTCTCTTGCTCCTCCTATAAAAGTTTCTGAACCTAAGAGTGCCAGGGCTGCTGGGCACCTCCAACCAACAGCTCCCTGCCCACCTTGCTGGCCTAGAGGATCAGAGGTGGCAAGGGTCCAGGAGACCTCTGGAGCAGGCCAGGCGCTCAGTGCTTTCTCTCTTGAGCTCCTCACCTGCCCTGAACCCACAGTCAGAGAAATGGCCCCAAACACCCTTGCCCCAAGAAGTCACAGGTCCCCAAAGTCACACTCGGGGTGCAGAACTGGTAGGAGATCACTTGTATGCCAGGTTTTCTTGGGACACAAGTACACACAACACAAAGGAAAAGGAAAGTGACAGAGGCCAGGGGTGCCTACAGGAGTGTGAGCAATCCCACGGATCTGAAGCGCAGCTCTGCAGGTCCAGAGTTTGCTACGGGAAAAAAGCAGAGTTGACACAACACAAATAAAGGAGCACAAGGCCCCACCAAGACCAGTATTTGGAAGATATGTCCCAGAGTTCAGCCCACACAGCCTTGCCCTCGCTCTGCAATAGGCTGGGACCTCAGACCAGGCCGATCCAGGTCACATAGCCACACCGCATGGTGATCTCTCTCTCTCTCTCTCTCTCTCTCTCTCTCTCTCTCTCTCTCTCTCTCATAAAATAAGTTTGAATTTGTAGAATTCTCTGTAGCAATAGTCTTGGAAAAAGAAATCAGAATTTAAATACAATATACTCAATCACCTTTGAATCTCTCCTCTACGTAAGTGGCATTATGTAACAACGTGTTGTACAGAACTAGTATGTCCTTAATATAACCTCAAAAACATGTAATCCAAAAAATCTTAAAAAGTGAGACCAAAAGAACTAAGAAATAAAAACATGTATTTCTCCATTCAATCTGACTTTGAAATTTCTTTTCTTCATTTTGCGGGCCTATTTACTGAAAAGAGAAAATTACACAGGTCAGCTACACCATATCTAGAGCTTTTACTAAGAGGGTACAGCCGTCAGGCCAACATCCAGCCACCAACGTACAATCTTACTTCCCACCCAAAGTTAGTAAGGATAGATTTTATTTTAAGTACAACACTGAGGCTGTATACCAAGAATTATGCGAGCCAACCTTAACCTGAGAGTTTAGTGCGACTCTCTCTGGGGACGGCAGGGGGCGACAGAGGCCAGAGAGACTGCGGTCTGGCCCGGCCGAAGGTACTGAGGTCCCAGTGTTAACGCCAGCCGGAAGACAGGCGTGCGCCCGCGGTACTCAGTTTTCCTGCTCTCCTAAGCTACCTTATGTAATCAAAGCCCTCTGCCTAAAAAACGACTGGGTTACAAAGCAGTTTGGCATGAAAACTCTTTAAAATGAAGTTTCCCGGATTTATTAACCTGCAGGACAAGCGAATGAGCTGCATAAAGTGGCGTTGCCTGTAATCCCAACACTCTGGGAGACTGAAGCAAGAGGATCGAAAGTTCAAATCCAGCCTGGGCAATTTAGGGATCAGACAAGACTCTGTTTTAAAATTAAAAATAAAAAAGGGAGGCAGGGGTGACATTTAATGAGAAAATTCAATATCCAGTGCTGAAAAAGAAAAAGGAAAGGAAAGAAAAGAAAAGAAATTGACTTCATTTAAATTCCACAATCTCAGATCAAACTATATCCTTCATTCTCAGGTAAACTTGTGCCCTCTAAACTCAGTGAGGCCATGTCTCCGGCCCCTGGCCCCACGTGTGAAGAGCCCCGAGCACGACCCTCACCGAGGACCAGGAGGCGGACGCGGGTCTTGGAGGTGCCTTGCAGATCCGACAGCAGCGAGACAGAGCACTCGTAGGTGCCGTTGTCGTCCATGGTCAGCTGCTGGATGGTGACAGACGCGTCCAACAGCTCTTTGCCATCCGCCAGGGTCACACGCTGTTTGTAGCGATCACCATAGAAGTACTCTTGGGATCCAAACTTCCAGGTAACCACCTTTTCCTAGGAACGAGAAGAAACGCTGCTGGTCTTCAGCTGAAGCCCAGGTGGGGCCTGCGCTGGCTGCCCTCCTGCAGGGTCCTCAGAGTCCCCTGACCAATGGAAAGATGGACAGTCGGACAGATGCACATACTGAACCCACAAACTGACCCAAGTCATGGCTGGCAGGCTCATTTTATCACCTCTCTCGCCCTCACTGCATTTTTTTATTCATGGTACCTGGCATTGAACTAGGGGCCTCTAGGCAAACACTCTACCACTGAGCTACACCTCCAGCCCCTCACACCTCACCGTATTTTTAAGACTTATCCATAGGTGAACCGGCTGGAATGCTGGGGCCCAGAACAGGTGGGTACCTCACGTCATAGAAGCCCTTCAGATCCCAGTAGCCTCAGCTACTCTTCACATCTTGCCTCCACTTCCTTTCAGCCCAATCTGTACTCAGCCAGTCAGTCAACCAGGATTTTCTGAGCACAGCCGCAAGCTGGATAGCCCCCTTGGCTCGCTGTTACTTGGTTCTTGCTTTCCGAGTTTGCTCATTCATTGGTACATGCACTCATCCTTGATCCATCAGTGCAGATTGGGGCCAAGACCACAGACTTTTGGGCCAGGTGACCTCAATTCAAACCCCAATCCTGTCTCTGATCACTACTTGAGTGGCCCTGAACAAAACCCTTGCCATCTCTGGGCATCCACTGACTATTCTACAAGATGAGATGGCAGTAACACCTGTCACCGAGTATTGCAGTGAGGAGCAAAGTCAACAATACATCCAGAGCGCTCAGGTTAGGGCTCGACCATCCTGCTACATCTCCAGAAGTGCAGGTTTACTGTTGCTGAGCATCTGGATGCTGCCCACCCCAGGGGAGCATCTTTGAGGCAATTCTTTCTTGCCTCAAAGAGAAATGGAGGTGAAAGGCAGTCGGGTATTTCAGTTTATGATTAGCTGCGTGGTTCCAGAAAACAGGTATTGCTTCTAGACTGGAAGTCAGGGTAGCTTCCAATGAGAGATGACAGGTAATTGCCCTGAATCCTGGAAAATGACTAGGAATTAGTTTAGCTGTAAAGGGTGTGTTGTTGGAGGTGTGTCTGAGTGGGCTAGATGCGTTGGAGTTTGGACATTGCCAGCAGAGGGAGAACTGTAGGTGGGACACACAAGGAGAAGCAACGTGGGACACCAGGAAGGGCACTGGGAGTGGAGAGGAGTGAGAAAAGGTGCTGCTCTGAGGAGGCGGAATTCCTCGTCTCTCACCCTCTAGCCCTGCTCCTAAGATTATACTCCGTTACACACAGAGCCCCGAGGGCGCTGGGAAGCTGAGAGTCTCTCAAGTTTACACAGCTAAGGACATGGCAGAGTGAACTGGACTTCGGGCTCCAAAGCCCGCATAGCAGAGATTGTGCGGTGCCCAATCTCAGGAGGCTGCTGCTTGTGTCCGGGACCTGGCTGTTGGCAGTTTATCTTGAAGGCACCAAGGAGCTGGGTGTCTTAACAAGTTTGCTCTTAAAACTGGGTGCAAAATGAAGTGGAAGGAGAAGGGGGGTGGTCAGTTAAGAAATTGGGTTAGCAGTTCAGGCAGCTATGGTGGGTGGCCGGAGAAAGCAGTAAGGTGCCCACAGACAGACGGACAGGCAGACAGACAGACAGACAGACAGACAGACAGACAGACAGACAGACAGACAGGCTGAGGTGTGGAAGGGTAGAGCCAGGACATTTGGAGGAGGGTGGATCAGAGAGGAAATGCACAGGAAGGAGAGCCTTGGGAAGAAGCCACCTGGGGGCCGGAACTGCAGTGGGTCCTGGGAGGAGAGGCCCAGCAGCGGCAGCGAGTGAGCCCAGCGTATCACGCTGGAGGATGGAGCCCTACTACAGGAGACAGATCTGTGAAGCCGCCGGGGCGAATGAGGAAATGGTGCGTCCGGGGAGGCTCAGAGAGGCGAAGAAAACCCAGGACAAGACCGCCAGAGAGCGAAGCAGGCGCGGACACTGAAAGGTGGTTCTGGTGGGGGTGCAGGTCGCATCAGAGTAAGCTGGGGCAGAGGAGACAAGGTGGAGACCGGGCCTGTTGGGACGCCCGTGCATGACAGACGTTTGTGCGCTTTAGTGAGGCGCCCTGGGTTGCAGCCTTGCAGCCGAGACGCAGGTAGAGGGATTGGCGGGTGCAGCGCGCCTCGCGTCCCACATCTCTGTGCAGAGCACTCGGGCTGCTCTAGGCGTCCTGGCAAAGCTTAGGGAGGGGTGGCTGAGACCGGGAAGAGAGACTGAAAGGAGGGGAGGGGTCTCCGTGGTCCCAGCTTGTTCTGCCGTCCCTGTCTCCACCCCTGCGTCTGCCTGGTCAAGCTGCTGGCTAGGATCTCAGGGATCCTTGCTAAGGCAATTTAGAGAGATTTAACCCATTGCTCTGCACCCTTACTGGGTTTCAGGGGAGCGGGGACGTAGCCTCCCAAATCCTTTGAGAAATCATGGGACAGGAAAAAAAAAAGATAGTGTCTGTCTCAGTTCTTAGGAAATGTCAGCTAGGACCTCACTCCTGGTTTGCTGGAAGTGTCTGATGGATGGTGGGGAAGGGCCCTGCCCCTGAGCTTCTGCCTTGGAATTGGATGGGATTGGACAGGACAGGTGGCTGTGGCCTATCAGGGACCTGCGTGTTTCCGACCAAGATTACTTCCTCTTCCATAGGTTCTGCCTCCCGAAATTTGGGTGTCCTGGGCCATCTTTCTTTTCTGTCAGTAGAAAAGCCACATTTCAGTCTGAGCACCCGGTGTCTACTGCTGCCCAGCATGTTAGTGTGTTCAAAGGAGAGTCGGCCTATAGGATTCGGAGGAGGCGCGCTGCTTCTGCTTCTCACAATGCATGTGAGTTAGTTCGCAATCGAGGTACTTTTCTCACTTACAAAATTGTCAACACTCAGTATTGGACAAGTGGGGACCATTACTGTTGTTGATAAAAAATGAAAATTAGTAAAACATCTAATGAGAACAATTCGATATTGAGATATGAGCTGAGTATATAGCTCAGTAGTAGAGCACATGCTTAACATTCATGAAGGCCTGGATTTTGTCCCCAGCACTATTGAAAGGGGCAGATGGTGTGGTGGCACAGCCCTCTAATCCCAGCACTCTGGGAGGCTGAGGCAGGAGGATCACAAGTTTGAGCCTAGGCTTGGCCAACTTGGGAGCTTATCAGGAGACTACTCCTGCCCCAAAATAAGGTCTAGAGCTATAGCTCAGTGTGAAGCCCCTGGATCCAGTCCTAATAGTAAAGAGGTGGAGAGAGGGGGATAGATATAAGTAGGTGCATATCTATGTATATATAATAAATGTACCTGTGCTTGTATGTGCCTGTCTTCGGGCTGGAGACATTTCAGAATAGGATTAAGGGATGGGAACAAGGTGGATGGGGCAGAAAGGACAAGGAAGGAATGAAACTTCTCAAATATACTTTTTGTGATGTTTTGACTTTGCAGTCATGCAATGCTATGATCTATTTAAAAGAAGAAATAGAAAATAAAACTTGTCCAAATGCTCCAAAAGAAATAAAACAGGAAAAGAATCCATGAAGTAAATTTTATCCTCATAATAGGGAATACGCTAGTCAGAAGGAGTGACTGAGTTGCCTGGTATATTTAGGTCATTTGAAATGGACTGACAGAGAGATATTCTAGGGCAAGTGACTTTGTCAAAATAAAGATAGAACAAGCTCTCCTCAGGCCATCACTCCTATTTATTCCTGTTTCTCAAAAGGCTTGGTAGTGCTTGCTTTCCAGGATATCCTGGTCAGGTGATAATTGTTTCCACAATGTCCCCTACTTTTATTTTTTTCTAGATGAATTTTTTTTATCAGTACATGTTAGTTATACACAAGGATCACATTCATCACAGGAAGCTGGTATACATAACATATCCCAGTTCTCTCCACATCCCTCCCTCCTCTCTGCCCTCCCTCCATCTGCACAACCCCAGGTAGCCAAGAATCCTCACCGTGTGAGTTAGGAGAAGCTTATCCCACTGGATAAATCCATCCCTGTCCGAGGCAGAAGTGTCGTAGGTACACGGAAGGGTGACACTTCCTCCTCGGGCTGCCTGAAGAAAATCCTTGGGGGTTTGCACAGAGATGGCGTCGACAGTCACCCAGGCTGGAAGGAAAGCAAGAGGTGAGAGGGAGAAGTCTACGACATGACCACAACCTCTCAGGGCCGAGGGGACACTGTGAGGATGCCCGGAGCTGCCTTTGCCCCTGCAGCCTCAGCTGTGTCTGCCATGAGGACGATCATGACCATGGCCTCCTCTGGGACTGGACGGGCCAGGGACAGCACACGTGTCCAGGCTGCCCTAGCTCCACAGCATCACAAAGTAGAGACATGCATTCGGAGGTGGGAGGTCTGGCTTTGGACCTCAGTCCCAACACTTGCCAGCTGTGTACATTTTCTAAGCCTCAGGTTTCTCACAAGTAGAATAGGAGTTCTAATATTCCTACTTTGTAGGAAATGTTGGGGAGGTGAAAGACAGTACTATGGGTCATATTTTTCTTAGTGTCAAGCGCATAGAAAACTCTCAATAAATAAGGTCTGCCATCTTTTTTGTAGTGATGATGATTTATTTGGTGACTTAGATGTGGATAGACCCTTTCTACACTGTTGGTGTAAACTAACAGTACTTCACTATGTCTAAATCACTATGGCGATCAGTGTGGGGAGTCCTCAGAAACAGACTAGAAATCCTATTTGACCCAGCTATGTCATACCTAGGTATGTTTCCAAAAGAGTTACACATATCACATCACAGTGATTTGTTCATACCCATGTTTACAGCAGCACCTCTCATAACAGCTAACTTATGGATGTGGCCTACACACCCATCAACAGATGAATGGATAAAAATATGGGATGTTGTAGCTTGTGTCTAGGTGTTCCCCAAAGCCTCATGCATTCAAGGTGGGGCTTTTTCAGAAGTCACTGGACCTGGAATGTGTGATGCTGGGAATAAAAGTGTGTGGTTACTAAATCAGGCCACTGGTTGGTATGGCACATGCCCCAAGCCTAGAGTCTCGAGAGAATATAGAAAGGACAGAAAGAAGCTGCTGAGGTCACATCAACTTGATTCTTTGCTACTGTGGTGCCCTGCTACCTTCTGTCTGCATGAACTGTGTCCCCTCTGCAGTGCCTGTCTGCCACACCACCCTGCCTTGGAGCCAGCTGATTATGGACTGAAACCTCTACAAACTGCAAGCCAGAATAAACCCTTCTTCCTTTAACTTCACATGTGGGATACATTGTCTCAGTGAGAACAGTGACTAAGATGTGGCATTTATACATAATGGAATGCTTCTCTGTTATAAATAAAGATGCATTTGAATCATTTGCCAGAAAATGGATGCACCTGGAGACCATAAAGTGAAATAAATCAGATACAGAAGCCTAGATACTGCATGATTTCTCTTATCTGAGAAGCCCAAAGTGTAAATAAGCTCAAGCGCAAAATAAAAGACAGATAGTAGGAAACAAGGGAATAGAACTTTCGCAAGTGGGAAGAGAACTAGGAGATGGAGGGGGGAGAGAAAGGGTGAGAAGAGTTATGATGCATGATGTAGGTGAACCAGCTCCCCACAACGAATGTGATCCTTCTGTACTGCACACATGGGCTAATAAAATAAAAATAAAAAATACTCATGGACTGCTTACATGTGGTCAAGATTTGGGAGTGAGATTAAATCAGGGTAAGCGAGAGAGGGCATTGCCTGAGGAGCTCATTAATGTAAGTTTACCGGAAAGAGTAAGAGTATGACTACACCTTGTTCCCATCACACCTACCCTCTTTATGCTGGGATGAGGACTCGCCTCCTCCAGGAAGTGGAGTACTTCTAGTCTGAGTGGGCCTGTGGCTATGATAGGGGTGACACTAGGTGTTCTGAGGCTAACACATGAGAGGCCATGCATTTTGCCTGGCCTGCTGGGGATGTTCACAGTGACCACTCAGGAAAGATGAGTTTCTTGAGAGCTGGGACTCCCACTTGGGACCTTGGGGACCCACTTCAACTCCTAGAGGAGTGAGTGAGCAAACCCAGTTGACCAGCTGCCCAGCTGACACCGACGTGCAGAGTGCAACTCCTTGCACAGCCACAATCCCAGAGACTTAGTATAACAGAGTGAAACCACTCTGTCATGCAACAATTGGTGGCTGGCATAGGGGCCTCTGGATGGACAACATGGTGAGAATCTCCTCCAAAGACCCAGCTTTCTGCGGGGGCCAGGCAACAGGTGGGGGTATTTGGTGTGATTAAAATACATGGTGAATGTTTAAATTTTAGAAATATGTTAAGGTAAAAATCACATCAACACGATTCTTCCTCAAAATGCTCCACTCGCCAGGGAGATGGCTCAATGGAATAAGTGCTTGCCTGGCAAGCGTAGAGGTCTGAGTTCAATCCCTGGTTCTGCCAAAAAAAAAGAAAAAGAAAAAGAAAAAAGAAAAACACTTGGCCAATATAAATGTTCAAGTATTGATTAATCCGTTATTATTAGGGCTGGGGAGATGGCTCAGTAGAATAAGTGCTTCCCTGGCAAGCGCAAGGGCCTGAGTTCAATCCCTGGTTCCACCAAATTAAAAAAAAAAGCTCCACTTGCTTAGAATGCACTTATCCCTCGGTTCTTGCCACTTTCTGAAGCTGCTGTGGACCTCATCTTTCCTGAGTGTCTTTGTTTGCCTTGATGTCCTGAATCCACTTAGCCTGCTCACCTTTCATGGTTATCTTACCTTTGGAGAAGCTCAGAAGTCACACAGTTCCAGATCTGGGAATAAGGTGAATGACGACATACTGTAATTTTTTTTAAAATGCATTTTGTGCAGAGTCTCATCATGCAGCTTGGACTTGTAGTGATCCTCCTGTTTTCAGCCTCCCCAGTGCTGGGATTACAGGTGTGCACCGCCATACCTGGTCTCGGTGGCTGGTTCAGGTCACCCAGAGGCACAGCCAACATGGCATGTGGTGCAGGGGATCGAACCCTGGTCCCAGCACTTACATAAGCAGGCACTTAGTCTGCTGAGCTATCTCATCGGCCATGACACACTGTAACTTTATGAGCCCATCTTCCTGTTGGATGGCACTTGGCAGTGGCATCTTATAAAGACACTCAGGAGAGTGGACCTCTGCTGCTTCAGAAGCTTGCAAGAATGATGGGATAAGTGTGTTCAAAGCGAGGGGGAGTATTTTGAAGGGGATTAATGGCCATGTGTCTTATTGTAATAAATTTTTTAAAATTGGAATATTCATCATTTATTTTGATCATCCCTTATAACCTTGGTTCATGTTCAGGGAATAACAAGGAAGTAGACACACTGGGTAGAGATAAGACAGAGAAGTAGGAACCTTAGACAGCAGCAAGGGCTGTAGCCCTGGCTAAAAGCTTTATATTTGCTCTGAAAGCAGCTGAACGCCCTTGAAAAGGCTTGTTGTCTCAGTTACTCTTCTCTCATTGCTGGGACAAAATATCTGACATCCTAAATTAAGGGAGAAAAGGTTTATTTAGCTCACAGTTAGTGGGGATTTCAGTCCATACTCAGCTGGCTCTGAGGCAGAGCCACACTCAGAGAGCAACCATTCACAGCAGTGATAAAGAGCAGAAAGCAAGAGTAAATGGGAGGAGTAGAGGCAACAGGGCTACAGCGAGCAAGTTTCTCCCTCTCTCCTCCTCATCTGCCCTAGGCTGGGTGTAGCACTCACATCCATAATCCCAGCAGTACTCAGACTCATAATCCCAGTCTTGGATCAGGAATGAATCACAGACTCTAGAACCACGCCCCCAATGACTGCATGAGGCTTTGAGGAGACAAATACACACAAACCATAACACTTGTGTAGGGCTAATACTTGAACGTGCAATTTTCAAGGCTCATTCTGGATCATGTGAAGTAAATACACAGGAGAGAGTTAAGAAGTGGGTAAGACTACAAAATACAATTTCAGCTGTGTAAGTGATGCTAATAGTGGCTTGGATATAGATGGTAACAGCAGAAGTAGTGAGAAATGATTTGAAATGAGCAGTGTTTAGAAAGTAGAGCCAATGGGACTTGGTCACACATAGATCTGGGCCTGAGAGAAGAAAATAGGCATCAAAGACAAATACAAGGACTTGTCCTGAACAGTTGGGAAGAGTGAAATTGCAGTAACTAAAGCTGAGAGCAGAGCAGGTTTCAGTGGGAAGATGAGCTTGTAGGGATGTGTGACTTTTGAGATGTTTATTAGGCATCTAAATTGAGACCCTGAAGAAGCAATGGTGTAGGTAGGAGCTTTGAGGGGAGGGTGAGGAGGAGACACAGCTTGAGGAGCTCTCCATCATGTATGACCAGAGGACATTGAGGTCACAACAGAGAGGCCTGGGACTGAAACTGAGGGATGCCAATGCTTGCTGGTGAAAGAGAGAGAGAGAGAGACAGAGACAGAGACAGAGACAGAGACAGAGACAGAGGCAGACAGAGAGACAGAGAGAGACAGAGAGAGAGGTGAGCAAGGCAGAAGAACTGGTCTGGGAGACAGGAAGAAAACCAAAAGAAAGTGTTTTGCAGAGACCATGTAAGAAACATGTCCCCTGAAAGGGAAGAGGGTCAACCGCTCCACTGCAGCTGATTCGTTGAGTCAGGAAGCTGAGGACTGAGCAATGACGACTGGATGTGGCCACACAGCGCTGCCCATGCCATGAGCAAATTTTGTGGAGTGGTGAGGATGAAGGCTGACTGGAGTGGACTCAAGAACAAATGGGAGACCTGGAGAACATCTTCTGGGAAGGAGGGAAGTTGGGGCGGTGACAGCTACAGGAAACTGTGGGGTCAAGTCAGGGTTGAGCCTTGCAAACATATTCTTGACACTGGGTTTATTGATGAGAAAGGACCCAGAGAAATAAGAGAGAAAAATGGTGTAGGATATATGAGAGTGTAAGTAGGGTGAAGGTAGGAGAAAGGGCTTAGAAGAAAAACCCCGGCCATTTACCCCCAAATGGGCTAAAGATGCATGTGATTGGCAGATTTGTGCTTGATCCTAGTCAAAAAGCTGAGAAGCGATGTGATTGGAAGATTTGGCAGGAGGAGCGAGTGAGCATTTTTTCTGAGCATTCCCATCTGAGGTTGCATTGCAAGGGAGGGG